AAGAGCACCATCATGCAATTTACTCCGCCAGAAATTTTGAAAAGGCTTACTGTACTACTTGGCATTCGCGCCGGAAGCTCAAATACGAACATTTCATTGGGTTTGGCAGTGCAGAGGATTCAGAAAAAGTTGGAGTCTAAATGGTGATTACCAAAGTACGGCAGCTAAGAAAACTCACTCTGTTCGTTCTGATAAGAAAAGAACTCCCGAATTTGTTGGTGATAGCCTCAGACTCCACACGGAGGCCTACATCAAATGCCGTGAGGAGGTAGTGCTGCCCTGGGTCATGAGGGGGTGGGGGTGCTGGAAGACCCTATGTCTGGCAACAGGACTCTGCAACATGTCACACAAGAAGGAAAACCCAGTCATGACTGTCAGACAATTTCTGTGACTACGTCACCCCCTTGCATCTGGCCACCTAACTCCCCCAGACTGCAACCCCATTGATTATTATGTGTGGGGCACAGTTGAGAGAGAGACCAACAAACTCCTTGTAACACCAATGATGAACTAAAGGCAAGGATTATGGCATCATTCACCAACTTAAACAAGGAGACCGCCCAGAAGTGTTGCCGCTGTTTTCGAAATCATCTGGAGGCCGAGGTTGAAGCCAATGACGATTTTATTGAATAAATTTACTCTTTAGTATTTTCAGATATTTTTGTGCAATTTTGGTAAATACATCTTGTAAAATGAGATATCAGTATTATTTTCATTTTTTATTTTGAATCATTTGACGACAATTTATCCATCGCACTATATATATATATATATATATATATATATATATATATATATATATATATATATATATTATATTATATTATATATATATATATATATATATATAAACGCAACAACAAACAAGAAACGTTACACCTCGTTTATGTCACAACACTCTTTGTCTACGTCACAACACTCACTAGTTCCTCGAAACTCACTAACTGTCTCTACCTACCCTGATGATGACTTAGCTTGGGCCATATTTCTTGTACTTTTCTTCCGAAATGAACTTCTGACACTTTCTAACAGAACTTACTCCACGTTTGAGAAATATTATATGCATAATCTGGCAAAGTCGATCATGAAAATTAATCGACACAAAATGTCTATTGTGTTTAAAATTTTAATAAAAACGAATTCTTTTCCAATTCCATTTATTTTCAAAATTTAGCAATGATGTTGGAAGTGCCGTACAGAATTGGAAGGAACCATATTTCTCGTAATTATAAATCCAGTTAGTTAGAATTTTGTTGCCGGACTCAAATCTGCGTAATGAAGACAATACGAGAGAGATTTGATTTAAAACAAAAATGAAAAAGAAACGAGAGAAAGTGAGAGAATCAACGTGTCCGCATGTGTCATATGTAAACAAACACGGGCATGCGCGCGCACACACACACACATACATTTTATTCTTACAACATTATTTCTGCATCAGTTTTACTTTTGTTAGATCTCTATGAGTGAAAACACGCCAAGAAAAATTATTAGGGACCCATATAGATATCAGCATACAAAGAATTATTTTAATTTTCTGCCATCGTTTCGTGTTTGTGTCTAAAAAAAGAAACCGCGTGAATTTTAACATGTCAGGACTTGCTGTCAATCATCAAAGGATAGATAGATAGATAGATAGATAGATAGATAGATAGATAGATAGATAGATAGAGAGATAGATAGATAGATAGATAAAAGAATAGACAGAGTGAGAGATAAAAAGAATATATCTATCTATCTATCTATCTATCTATCTATCTATCTATCTATCTATCTATCTATCTATCTATCGGAAGGAATGGACTGGACTGAACTGAGGCAGATAGAGTCAGTAATTAAATGAACAGACCATAATTATTATATACCTACATACATATTTCAATCCGCACCTGGCGGTTGCTTCGTACAAAGAACTCATAGTTCTGATTACAGCGAGGGACAATAATGCTAGATAGATAGATAGATAGATAGATAGATAGATAGATAGATAGATAGATATGAACAGAATGAGATAGATAGATAGATAGATAGATAGATAGATAGATAGATAGATAGATAGATAGATATACACAACTGCTTCCTTGAGTCGTGTGTCGTTCGTATTGTATTGACAGCGAGATGGGGTGGAGAACTTGCGACGTTTCCCCAAGGATGGATACGCCCCTTTTGTTTGTTTGACTGAGTGTAAGTTAAATTAAAGTCCCCAACTTCAAGCACTTATGAGCTCGACGGGAGCAAACATAAAAATGAGAACCTACGTAATTTATAAAAATAAAAATATTTTTAATACAAAGACTTCTTTTACTCGAATTTGCGATTAAACAAAAAAAAAAAAATAATAATAAAAAAAAAAATAATTAAAAGATGAAATGAAATCGATGTATTTTTCTGCAGGTTATCTCAAGTGAAAAAAGAACTTTTTTTCTCTCTTTTCTCTGAAAAGAAAAGAAAAGTAACACTCAAGAACAGTAATGACTGTCGTCGTTAGTGGTGTAGTAGTCAGTATTGTTGTACTATGCTGTGAAAAAATAAAAATATATAGTAGAAATAATGTACATGATGCATTTGTACAACACGGGAAAAGAAGGAAAGAAATCCGATCAAAAAGAAAGAAGAGGAGGAACTAGAGAATATATTTCAGCTCTCCCCCTCTCTCTCTCTCTCTCTCTCTCTCTTTCTCTCTATTATACGTAATCTAAATTTTTTGCGCTTTTTGTCTTTTTTAATGTGTATAAAAAAAACGAAAAATAAAAATAAAGAAAACGAAAGCCTCTTATTTTTAAGCATTGAAGCAATGATTTATTTTCATTTACATTTTTAATTCTATTTTTTATTAATGGAGAAATGGTTGAATTTCAACAAAAATATTACTTTAAGAAAGTGAACGTTTGCGTATTAAAAATGTGATGACTTAATAAAGGAAAAAAAATATATATTTTATGACAGAAAGAAAGAAAGAAAGAAAGAAAGAAAGAAAGAAAGAAAGAAAGAAAGAAAGAAAGAAAAAAAGAAAGAAAGAAAATAAATTCTCAGAAGTGGAAAACACACACACACACACACACTTTAAGAAAAATTCATATTTTTCTTCCGTGTCAAAGATAGTCCTGGATAACTTACCCGGGATAAAAGGGAAAAGATTGTTGGCGGCGGGGTGTTTATTAAATAAGAAATAAATAAATTAAAAAAAAGAAACGAAAAAAGAGCATGAAAACAAGGAGTGAGGGGGAAAAAAAAGAAAGTAAAAGAAATGTATGTTCGAAAGAGAGGAAGAAATTCAAATGAAAGAAATTGGGTAAAACAAACAAACAATAATAATTTAAAAAGAATGAAAACAATACGAAAATTGTGTAAAGATATCATAAGGAAAACGAAACTAAGAAAAAAAAATTAAAGTACAAAAATAAAACTTGGGGTGGGAAGACGACCAAAAAAAGAAAAAAATAGTCCCAGGGGCTGGAAATAAAGTAATGTGTATTACATTAAACCCAATCCCGGGCCACATCATTTATTTCATTCAAGCTGAAGGGAAATCCCACAGGGAATTCCTAGCGCCCAGCAAGCTGGATAATTTAAGCGCGGGCGAATGTTATTTTTGCCGTAATCAATTCTTTTAGTGCGCGTATTTATTTATTTATTTATTTATTTATTATGATACTCTGGATATATACCTTTTTTTTTTTGCTCTCTTTTTCTAGTTTTTTTTCTTTTAGATTTTTAAATTAATTTTTATTACTTAGCTCGTTACTCTTTCTTTCTCTTATGTATTTTATAGTTTATTGTTAATTGTTATTCAGTATTGTTACTGTTTGTTTTTTCCTTCCTAAATGGACGACTTTTCTAGTTCGAAGAACGACACGCACTTGAATCTTTCTTTTTTTTTTTTTATTAACTACAATAAATCTCTTTCTGCCTCAGATTTAAAAAAAAAAGACATTTTTACAAAGACCGATCAAAAAAGGGTCATCCTTTCCACTTTTTTAAGTGTCATTCCATATGTTTACTACAGTACACACAGAGAATAAATATCAATAACAAGTTTACTGAAGTTGTAGTAGTAGTAATACTAATAAATACTAAATAAATAGTAGCCGCAACTCTCGTTGATTTCAACTACTGATTATGATAAGCAAACTCTGGAAAATTGGCACAAAAAATGTTACCCCAGTTTAACAACCTTTGTACCAAATTATTATGTTATCCTAAACAATCAAAATATTCCACATGCTGATTTTCGAAGCCTGTTCTCTTCACCGGACGCAGTACGGATCTTCTCGTCTACTCTAAATTTTATTCTAGTCTGGAAAAATATCAGTCTTTGAAAAGCTTTATTGGAGAGTAAAGCGTAAAACTCAGTAGCATTTTGAATGTTTTTGAAAGCAAAAGCAAGCTCTACACTTTGGAAGAAATGACGCATCACAATCTTCCTTCCTTAACCTTCCCATTCGTTCAACGTTTGGTCTGGTCTCGGACAAAGCAGATAATAAAATAAATAATAAATAAATAAATAAATAAATAAGAAAGACATTTTTGTAACTAAATCACATAGTTTCGGATGTCTATTCAGTACTACTAGTGATTTCTAAAGCAGGCTAGCTAGCTCTTCCCCTTGAGAATATTGGCGGAGTACACTCTTTCCCGTCTTAGTTTTTATTCCTGCTTGGGCTTGGGTGTTGTTGTACTAAGAGACTAAAAGTACTATCTTCGTTTCATTTTTTTTTTTTTTTTTACAAGTGTAGTGAGAGAATAGTTACTAAAAAAATACATAATGAACAACAACAGTGTTAGTGTTATTGCTTTTCTAGGGATTTACAAAGGTCCTTCCCCCAACTACTTTCACGCAAATAACCCCCAACTCTTTTTCTCAACTCCATGTAGTCCTTCGCAACCCCCACCTCCACCTCCACAACGACCACACATTTTTTTTTATCTTTTTACTTCGCTCAGAGCAATACCGCTCCTGCTGGTTTTATAACTAAAAATAAAAATATAAGTAATAATAAATGGATGCATTCTTTCTTTCTTTCTTTCTTTCTTTCTTTCTTTCTTTCTTTCTAAGTCTGTCTTTCTAAGTCTTTCTTTCTTTAAGTCTTTCTTTATTTATTTTTCCTACCTTACTTTGTCTTCATAAGTCTTTCTTTCTTTCTAATTCTTTCTGTCTGTAGTCTTTCTTACTTTCTTCCTTACTGTTTCTTTTCCTCCTATTTCTTTCTCTTTTTTTTTCTTTATTCTTTTTTATTTCCTTCTTTATTTTTCTTTCTTTTCTTATTCTTTCTTTCCCTTGCTTATTCGTTCTTTCTTTTCATTCCTTGTTCTTTCTTTCTTGTCCTTTCTTATTGCTTCCTTTTTTCCAGTGACTTTCTACCTTCTTCCTTTATCTCTTACCCACTCTCTCTATTTATCTAATCTCTTTCTCTCTCTCTCTCTCTCTCTCAGCCATTTTTTAGACGCTCCACCATTAAAGTCTTAAAAGAGATGAATGAATGAGAGACGGAAAAAGTCCACTTCATTCCGTTCAGTTTCAAAGATAAAAGAAGAAAGAGGAAAGAGATATAAACAAAATGTTGAAGTGAAAGAAAAAAGAAGACAGAGAAAATGAATTAACAACAATAACTTCTCTCGTTCTTTTTTCTCCCACTTTCTTTCTTCCTTTCTTTCTTTCTCGTACGCCAGGAAAAGCGTTTTTCCCTTTCTTTCTCTTCTTTTCCCTTTGCTTCTTTCGACCTTTCCTTTTTTTTTTTTTCTTTTTCTACCGTTTTCTGTCTTTCACAACCCATTTCACTAACTACCTGCTCCTATTTTTAAATTTAATTCTATCTATCTCTTTTTTTTCTTTCTCAAATCCTTTCTCTTTCATTTCTTTCAATCTCTTTCTCTTTCATAAACTGTTTTTTTTTTTTCAAACGCATTATTGATTTATTTGAGGAGTGTACTGTGTATGAAATAAAAAAAAATGGATTACATATTTATTTTATTTATAAGCAAAGTTTAGCCTGGCACAAAGCCACGGTAGTTGGTAGGGGAGGGGCATGCAGTGAGGATCGAACTCGCTCCACTAGCGAATTAGTCGGCAAGATGAGCTCGCTCCCCATCGCGCACGCTACGGTAAGCGCCCACGACAGAGTGGCTGCGTTAATATTTGTGTAAGGAGAGAAAGAAAGGCTAAAGGAAGGAAGAAAGTAAGTAAGAGAGAGCGAGCGAGAGCGAGAGATTTCACAAGTGCAAAACAAGAACGTGTCTCCTCCCACTTCGTGAAAGGTCTTTCATTCTGACTGCCGTCGACATCGCCCTCTTTTCTTCGCAATCTTGCTCATTCTGGACGTAAGGAAATTGCCTGCCGAACCACACACACTTCCCTGGTCTTTCTATACATCTACAACGACTTCAGTTACGGCTAGTTTGCCGGATAATATCAGATGTTTTCCAATGGCGATGGTTAAGAGACTGTGTTTATCGTTCCCGAGAGAACCGGCCCGTGGTCAGTGGAACTACAATAAGCACGGTGCTCCGGACAGTGTCCAAACTCATTGTGGACAAGTGGACACCTTACTGGATATTTGTGCAAAAGTAGTGGCCGAAAATATACCTTTTCAGTCAATAGAACAACGTTTTGACAGGATACCTGAACCAGTACAAAGTCGCATTGTCTATTGGTCATTTCCTCGAAATGAAACTGACATCTGTATGTATTCTTCGTTTTCCAATTCCTGGAAGGACAATAATGGTGAAACTCAAAAATTACCTTTTCACCACGGTGTCCGACTTTTAGAAAATGAATGCGTGGATAATGTCTTACAAATAGGTAAGGTTAAAGTCACAGATAATTTAAGGGTGACTTTTATTATTATTATTTTCAAGAATGTGTTTATGTTTACTGTTCGTTTACTTTAAATTTGTTTTCCTTGAGGCGAGAAACTTTTTTGTCTAAGATCTTTGACTTCAATCTAAAAATAAGCAAACATGTGTTTTTATTTTTATTTTTTTAATGTAAACAATTCCGTATTTTTTTTATTTATTTTTATTTATTTTTATTTATTTTTTTTAGTTTAGTAAATTATATTGCAAATAAATGTTTTATTTATTTTACATCTTATCCTCATTCTGATTGTTTCTTGTACTAAAAAGTAACGTTGACAAATATTTCCCGGAATTTTAATAAAAACAAATCCTCTTACTGCTTTGAGGAACATGAAATTAATACATACCACACATAACTTCGTGTCGATTCAATGGATATAAATTTTTATTATTTTAGCGAAATATTAAGTGCAGATATTTATTTTTAAAAAAATACTTATTTTTTTTTTTTGTCTCTACGTAGGGATATAAAAAAAAAAATTGTTTTTCTTTGTACTTGATAGGGTAACCTTTTTTTTTTTTTTTTTTTTTTTTACTAGAATTAAAGCCTGACTTGTAAAAGAACGAAAAAAAATAGCGAAATAGTAATTTTGTCCTGTGTAAACCTGTTTGTTACTAAAAACGGATTTCTTTTTCTTTCTCTCCCTCAAAAACTGATAACATTATCGACAAAAACGAATTGATGAATAAATGAAGTCATTGTTTGTTTTATTCATAGGCATCGATTTCGTTTTCACATCCTCTCTTCTCATCTGTTTCTCTAGAACACTATCGCTAGTAATAATAGTAGTATTTTAGAAACACACGAGCTAAGCATGTGTATCTTGTTCGTTACACACCCATGTCTGTACACGCTAAAAAAAGTTAATATTAGTAACTTATTTAAAGGACACTTCATGTTCTCCTGGCTTGCGTATTAAAAGAATCTAGCCCACACACACATTAATCAAAAACGAAATGCATTCCTTATTACGAAAAAAAAAAAAGAAGCCTTTCATTATCTTTTATTTGCTAGAATTCTATTTCAAGGTTCAGCTAGGCTGTATCAGCTTGCCTTTTTAAAACCATTCAAGGTTCACCTATGTATCAGCTTAAACAAAACACACACACACATATATATATATATATATATGTGTGTGTGTGTGTGTGTGCTATACGTCTTATGCAGGCGGGTGGGGTCCTAAGACTTTTTTTTTTTTTTTTTTTTTTAAATTTCGTGACTAGGATATTACCTGGGTGAATGAAATGCCAGTCTCCAAAAAGTAGTTGCATTTTTAGTTTTGCTTGACAAGTTTATTTTAAAATAAATGAAAATGACGCTGAATTATTTTACTTATTTATTTTTGTCTATTTTCCAAGCCGCGTAGAAACGGATCTGTAATGAAAATGGACACAAAGTCGAAACAGACCAGTGGTCAGAAATAGCCTTTTCTTCTAAAAATTAAAACAAAACAAACTTGGTCGATCGTTGTCTGGCTATTACTGAATAAATTAATTAATTTAATTGTACACAGGGTAGTAAAACTTAATTTATTTAGAAATGTATATGTTTTTCTGTATTTTTGTCTATTTAGTCAAACTTTCTCGGATTTTTTTTCTTGGTGATGGTTGGGTTTTAATTTAATTTTTTTTTTTTTTTTTTTTCCTTTTTAATTGAAACATTTTTAATTTTGTCTACGTGGTTTCTAGAATACTTGGTTTCTATTTACTTTTTTTTTCTTTTTTAGGTCAAAGTATAATATTTCTTTTTTTTTTTTCCTCGTTCAAGTCTCGTATTTTTCTCCTCCTCCTTCGTTCGTACGCAGCTGATATTTTTCTCTTACTTCAGTGCGCGTGGGGGATATTTTTTTTTTAACTTTTCTCATATTGCGATTAAAACACCATCTGCCCACAAAAATAAATATCTTTAAAGTAAGTCCTAGGAAAAATGTTAAAACACTAATTTTGCTTAGTATTTTATAGACGATCGGAAAGCTTTTTGTATTGTGAGGAAGTTAAAATTGGTTGGGAATATAATTACAGTGCTTTATCTTGTATTTCATTACGTTTCCTAATTACTGGCCTTGAAATTAGAAACTCCTATTCAAAATATGTGAGCTGGTTATTAAAATTTAGAGATTTTATTTGCTTTATTGCTGTTAAAAAACATTACAAAGGAATAAATCGAAAAGTGAACAATTTTTTTTGAATTGTACAATTGGAGTTGCTTCGAGAAATTAATCATATTTTTCTAAATTTTTCATCACATAGAATAAGTAAGAAGCACTTCAGGTTAAGAAATAAAAATTTTAAATTTTATAAAAGGTAAAGGGGGGTCATTTACTATGTAAGATCATTGTCTCCCCCTCCCCTTGAAAGCCAAAAAAAAAAAAATAACAAACAAATATGTGCTCATACGATGTGATTTTCAAAAAACAAAAACACAATCGTAATCTGGTACATACTATCGATTTAAGGACTCCACATTACGATTTAAGTAAAAGAAAAAATTATTTTCTTACATTTTTAAGAAATTGTGTCATATGTACATATTTGTTTTGGCTTCCGTAGGGAGGGGAGGGTCAATTTTTACACAGTGAAAATGACATAGTTTCTTCTAGGTAGTTATTATTATTATTATTATTATTATTATTATTATTATTATTATTATTTTACATAGAAAACTGATATTTGTGATCTGAAGTATTTAGTTGATATTTTATAAATAAATTTATTTCTGGTCGCAGTGCCTACCGTTCAGCTCCGCCCAAATTTTTTTTTACTTAAATATTTTAATTTGTCCTAAAAAAAAAAAAAAAATTCGTAACCAGCTTTCTATTTTTTTTTTTTCTTTTTTTCATTATTAAAAAGATGTTGAGACTAAACAGTTTAGTTTACATTGCTTGGAGGTGGTTTAAACATGACACACACCTCTTTTCTTTCTTTCTTTCTTTCTTTTTTTTTTTTCTTTTTCTTTTAAAGAGGGTAAAAGGCTTTTTAAAAACTAAGTGCATCCAACCAGGCCAGCCTATCGCAGATTTGTTTCATCAGAAACTTTCTTTTTACACTGTCATCGGCTCTAACATTTCATCTCATTTTTGCAATTCTTGATTCTATCCTAGTTTTTTTTAACGAACACTGTTTTTCCTCAGAAAGGCACAAAGGAAACGTAAACAGCAGTTACAAAATAAATTCTTCTGCTTCTTGTCTAACAGTAAAAGTAGCTTTAAAAGTTCAACGCTAACCTAACATTATGAAAGTACTAGTTATTCTGGAAATATATTTTTAAAACTTCTTTTAAAATTATTTCCTTAAAAATCAGTCCTTGGCATGTTATGTACGTTTTCTCTTGACAACGAGGGTGCTAAATGCTGTTAATTTCAAAAAACTATATTTTATTTACAATATAAGGTGAGGTAAAAAAAAAAAAATGAGATAATATTTAGACTACTATTTTCTGGAAAATTACTACTGCAATTACAACGTGACTGTGTGTGTACACGCACATACATATTCATAACGCACTGTAGACAAGAGGTCTGGGCCTCTACCATATATATATATATATATATAACATTTATTTATTTTTTTACTTTTCTATTAGTTTCTTTTGTACTGAACGAACGAAGGTAAAATTATAGCATCCTGTTTAGTGTTTACTAAATTGCATGACTTCTCTCTTAACAAGGGGGTGCTAAAATTTTCTCCCTCCAACTAAAAACCCTTCCTCATACCACAAAAAATTGTTTGGTCATTTGATCAGAATCAGATGTTTGGGGAGTAAGGCTGACCTGATAATTTTCAGCACCCCCTTCTTACTCTTTTTCTGATTATTTCTTTATCTACGTTTTGTTTGTTTTTTTTGGGGGGGGGTTACGTGAAAGATTGAAACTTGAAAGTTATTTTTTTTTTTTTTTTATTTAATTTTTTTTTTTTTTGTTTTCAAATTGCTAATGTTTTTATTTTTTTTTTTTTTTTAAATTTAATTTTGTTTTTTTATTATTATTTTAGTTTTTACCCTTAGACTCTTTTTGGTGGATTTTTTTTTTCTTTTTCGTAGCATTTTTCCTCTTTTCTCATCGTTTTAAAAGACTTTTTATATTCTAATTCTTATCGATTAGATTTATCCACCCCCTCCCGTTCTATATCTATATCTTCAATTTTTTTTTTTTTTTTTTCCTCTCTGGTTTATCTATCTACGACCGCCTCCCTCTTTAATTTCCTTGCTGAAGTGTATTTTATGGACTTGAGTTGATATAATTCTAGATTATTTCTTTCTATAAATTAGGATTGGCCATTTCTGTATGTGTGTCTCTCTCCCTCTGGCCATAACTTGACCCTGTTAGAGAGAGAGAGAAAGGCTGACTTTCTTTTTTTAGTCTACAAAGGCAACACTAAAGAAACAGTATGAATAAGCCTTTGGCTCTCTAAAATAAAACCTTGCTTATACAAAGAACGTTTTCCAGCCCTCTCTAATTTGTATGTATGTACATCAAACTTTATCTTCGGCATTATTTACATAGCACGAACTTTTTTCTTCTTTATCATCCATTAACAATAAATGCGTGTGTGTTGCCACTATTTAATTTTGGTTTGTGCTTTTTCACTAGTCCCAGAAACTAAATATCGACCTCTTACTCTCCGCTTATGTATTTTTAGGGCCATATATAAATTTGTAGTAGTAGTTGCTTGAAAGTAAACTGTTAGTGTTTAGTTTATTTATTTATATATATATATATATATATATATATATATATATGACGACGGATGTCAAACTCGTGATTGGTATCCAGCTGGAAGTGGATGTGTAGATTGTATTTTTTTTTTTCTAACAGTGAACAGAAACCTTGAGCTAAAAAGTGCCTATATATATATAGGCACTTTTTAGCTCAAGGTTTCTATATGATTTTTTATTATTTTAGACGAAATCTGGATCCAGTTCTGATTCTTTCATTTTTTTTTTTTCTCCTGAACACTTAAAAAGTTTTGTCGAAGTCGTTTTTAGATTCTTGACGTCGAAACATAGCTCGGGGCTGGAGGTTAGTTTTTTTTTTTTTTTTTTTTTTTATAAATGCTGTTTCAGTTTGTTATTAATGATCGTGACAAAAAGATACATCCTTTGCAAGCCTCTCCTATTTTATTTAAAGATTTATTTCTAATGATATGTTAAAGCAATTTTTAGTCTTTCTCTCAAATTTCAATAACAAAAGAACTTTCCTCTTTATTTTTAGTCTTTCTCTCTCCTATTTTAATAGTAAATTCTTTGCCCATCTCTCTTTTCACTCGGTTTATGAGGAAAAATATCTTGGAAAGCTTTAGCCTTTTTACTCCTCCTTCAAGCACGCATATAGAAAGAGGATATACGAATTTTCCCAATTAAACGCATGCCTGGAGAATCAGCTTTCCTGATCTTTGTCTAGGTTTGAACACACAGACTAGTGGCGCCGGTAACTACTAGAGAGCTACATCTCAACCACTAAGCCGGTGTCTAAGCATGTCTAAAAATCGAGGAGATATAGATGATTGTAGCGCGTCAGCTTTTAAAAGTAAGGTCTTCTTGTCTGTCTTTATCAGCATTCACAATCTTGGTTTTCAAGCGGGTTCGAACGACGCACTCATTGGCTAGTAGTACAAGTAAAAACCTTCTTTAGCACGCTAGGGCAGGCAAACAGGCACACACGCTGAAAAGGTTTGTAAGGAGAAAGAAAGATCAATAATAAAACATTTTTGGTTTTGCTTTTTAAACTTTTTTAGATTTACTTCGCCGAATCTTTTCTGAAAAAGGATAAAATGTGTGTGATCAATAAATTCATAATTGAAGCAATAGACTTTTTACTTAGCCTCATATTCCGAATATGCAATTTTGGGTTTATTTTTTATTTATTTTTTTTAATTATCTTTCTTTATTTTTAAATTTTAAAATCTGTGTATATTTTTTTTATTCAGATATAATTGAAAATAAATTCTATAATTTTACTTAGCTTATTTTTGACACCGAGCCAAATGGAAGATTGTGTTGCGCCAATGTAAATGAAAATGTTTATTTTAATTTTAAAATTAACCCCAGCTAGTGTGCATCTGTCTTCTTAGCCAATGGATGGAGCAACCTTGAAGCTGAATGATGGATTATGAATATAAAAGTAGTGTCATATTTCTGTTTTGAGATATGTGTGTATGTATGTATATGTAATTTGAGAAAACCGTTGTTATCGTTGATATTCTATGCCAGTTCGGTGTAGGGCTCCTTACAACTGCAGGAATTGATTTTTAGATCGTGAAGTGCATCTCTTTTAAGGAGTCTTGTGCAGCGCGTGAACGTAAAAGCGGGTAGTAGGGGGGGACTCTAATCAATTTAAAAGGGAGTGGCTTTTCGACTAGACTGCTTCTTTTTTTCCCTCGTGGCGTATTTGGTAATGACCTTGAAATTGTATGGCACATTCCCAGATTCAAGTCCTAACAACAGACATCAATGCAGTTTTTTGCAGTTTTATCCGACAGTAATAGCGGTCAGTCCTTGTACCGCCGACTATATTCTAGTTAATAAACTGTTTATTGATTTTTAAGGGGGCAGTGAAATTAGAACTGCTCGTCTGGTAAAGGCGAAGGTTTTGTTTTCTTGCTTGTTTACTCGACCGCAGTTTTCCTGATCAATATTTTGCGACCTCACCCTCACGTGTCATTTTCTTGTAAAATCTTTCTTACGGGTGTGGCATGATGATAAATTACGAAATCAAGACGATGATCAGATTCGATTTTTGTCTATATAGTTTGTTTGTTTTTTTTGTTTTTGTTTTTTTACCAGACAAAATAATCAAACTTTAAAAGTAAAACTAAATTTTTAAATTGTATTTTAAATGGACATACAATAATAATACATTCCGTTTTTCACTCGGTCAACAAAAGAATAAAAAATAAAATAAATTTAAAAATGACTTCAAAAGGGGCCACATTATTTTTGGCTTATTTTCTTTATTTCTGTTACCCCGAGGCTAGCTCCCACGACACAGTTGTTTTAATTTCAATTTTTTTATTCAAGTTGTGTATGTACGTTTTACGTGTAATTTTAATATGCGTGTGTTGGTGGGTACATATGAGATTATGTAAGTCACACCCGCGAGGTGGGTGGGGTGGACATTTGCAGTCACACGCAAAGAAATCGTGACGGACAGAAAATCATCTCTAGTAGGAAGTAGATTTATTTTGAATTTAAAACTTTTCTTACGTGAACAAATGCGACATGTTTCGGATGGACCCAGTGTGTGTTTTTGTTTATTTTAGCGTTACATTCTTCAGCACTAGGCCAAAAATATAACCATGCAAAAGCACAGAGTGTCTGATTACCTTGAAAACTTTCTATTTAAGACTGAAGAAGAAAAAGATAAAGCCCCCACACATAGGGGATTCAATATTCTTATTTTTTAATTCATTTAAAATCGAAGAGATGATGAACGCAGTTTGTGGTGTAAAATAAAAATCATCGATATCGGTGAAGGTCGCTTCTGTTCACTTCCTATGCATTTTTTTTTCTTTTTTTAAGGCATGAATTTACTTATACCTGTGATTTGTTGAGTATTTCTTTGGGTATAACTCTCATAACTATACTCTTTGTGATGTCTTCATAATTTAAATGTATTGGAAAGGCTTCTTTTTTTTTTTTTTTTTTTTTTTTTAGCCTGGGTCCCGATAGAAACATAATCGCCGTAAAAGTAGTGTAAACTATCAGTTGTAGAGACAAGGACACGGAAATTTATGGGCGGCGGTGATGGGGACTTCTATTGTTTTGACTTTTGAATATGCCTGGAAAAAATATTTACCTGATAAAAATCTATGGATTTGGTTTATATTGGCAAGATGTCGACAAAACCTTGCAGGTTTGTTGAAGAAAGTAAATATGCAGTGTTTAACATTCGTAATTTTAGATTTTAAAATGCTATAGTTCGGGGTGGGGCGATTTTTACCTAATGGGGGAGAAGCTAGTGTCGTAGACTTTAGTGAGATCTTTGTCTAACTTCACGATCCAGACCCCATCAGTATCAGACACTAAAAGAAAAGCTCTCTGTAAGTAATGAGCGTCTGACTAGAAGGTATGGGACCCACAGTGAGGATCATACTCTCAAGGAAACAGCAATTGTTAGTTTTTACATTCTATGTGCCGGTGCGTGTCCCCCTTTTTATTTAAGGCATGGGAGAACATGACTCGCTTTAACTTCCTACTTGGCGTAGTTAAAAGAAAAAAAGTTAATAAGAAGCATCATGGCTTAGCCTGGCAAAAGGCTTCTGTTGAGGGGGAGACTAAGTTTGAACAAAGTTCCACGATAATGACTTTCTTAAGCGGAAGCCCGGCTTATACAGGACTAATTTTCAAAATTCGAACTCACGCGTACGTAATGTATGTACTGAACTATTTTCTTATTTTTTATTTTTGAAACTAGTAGTGGTACACCTTAGGGCTCTCGTGTGTGTGGGGTGGGGGGAATCAATAATCATTATCTTATTTTATTTAAATAACAAGGCCCGTATTATTTACGTATAGATCAGCATTTATAATCCAGTATTTCTTTAACTCGACTGTTGGGGCCCTTTTTTTTTTTTTTTTTTTAATCATCATCTAGACTTCATAAAGAGTAGCGTAAAAATGATGAGATACGTCAAATACGCTTTGTGGAGGGTCCTTGGTGGATCTGAAAACTGGCTCTATTTCCTTTGCCTGTTTGTTATTGATCTGTCTGATGGCTCTAAAAATCTCTTTACTACCATTATTTTTCATTCAAAAATAAATTTAAAAAAAAAACACAATTTCCGGTATTTCATTTAAGTTTTGAAACTTTTACAAGTCTGCGGAAAAATGTCCATAGATTTTACTTTCAGAAAATAAGAAAAAAAAAAAGAAATTCTTCATTTTTGAGAAGATCAGGAAATTATGACTCAGGAGGAGGAATCTTTTAAAGTTTCCATTTGATTTACCACCCCCTCCTCCCCAAATGGATTTTTTTTTTGTTTGAACGACAAAAATCTACTCTACTGATACTTAACTTCTTATTTTGTCCATCTGCGCTTACCTTATTTTTATTTATTTTTAATTTTCTCCTGGTATGTCTTGTATCTCTCGTTCGAAAGTTTACAAAGAAAATATTTTTAAAACTAAAAGTATTATTGTTTAACCTTGAAAAGGGGTGCAGTTTGTGAACAACACTCTCATACACTCACGCACTCAATTT